TTGACAAGCCATTCCTCATATCATCCACAATATTCTGCTCATTCTCACTTAGTTTGAATTAAAAAAACCTTGGCAGTATTTTTCAAGGCGATAGAAAGTAAAAATTTTGCCTAGTTTTGGAGGGAGGGGGGTGAAATTGGCTTATCAACTGCAAGCCTTGCTTTGATGATATAGACTAATTTCAAGCCTGCACATTTGCAAGTGGCCTAAAACTTATTCTCAAAGTGCTCTTTCAGATTGGTGCTACATAGACTACATTAAATCTCCTTGGGACAAGCAGCACCTCATTTAACTAAAAGGTCCATGTGGATCACAGAATCCACGGCACAGCCTGCTGCTACATACCAAGTCGCTATAATGTCTTGTCACAATGGTTTAATATGCTGAAAATTTATTAAAAATATTCAGGTGCCAAAATGGTTAGGTCTGCGCTTGATTACTCAAACATGCTGTTTTTGAGAAAGGCAAATGGCTGATATTTTATGAGTTGGCTTTACTATTTATTATACATTATTGCTCAGTATATGGAAGCACTTCATGTCCAGACTTTTAATGACTCCTCATTAACAAAGAAGCTATACATAATGTTTCTAAAACGCTACACTATTTTATTCCCTGTTCTCCTTCTGTGGCTCTTTACAATGCGTTGCATTCCTCACTGAGAGGGCAGGAAGGAAATTTGCTTCCAGTTCTCTGCCAACACGCTATGACCATCTGTTGGAAGGTTTATGACAGCAACTCACAGGGACTCTTTTCCAGTTTTACTTCCTCCCTGTAGCGATGCCCCTGGGCTCTACTCAATCTTTTTTACAATAGCTTTTGCCAATTTGATAACATAAAAGGAAACAATGCACCTTATCGTACTGAAACTGCCTGCTACAACAACATGAATTTGTATGGTCCCTAAATACAGGATAACAAAGATGTGTGGGGGCTGTAAACAGGACAACAATGATCAATTAAAGGCTGTTCTTATTTCTCTCATTTGAATGATACAACATTAATGTAATCACTATTCAATTTGAATATCAAGACATTCTCCACAAAAAAATTCACTACTTTCTTTGGTCACAAATACAGGCAAGTTTCTTAGGAATCATTTAAGGAACAGTTTGATAATGTGATGGGAGTTCTTCTGGACAGAAGAGCAAAGCTGGGTAAAATAGCCTTTCCCATCAGTATTGGCATAAATTGTAGTCACTATGTTAAATGTGATAGGAAGTAGCAATACACAAATTTATTGTTTTTACTCTTCTCATTTTTTTAATCTTTCTTATCCCTAGTATTTTGTTTATTTTATGAAAACAATTTGCAAATTCTATTAATTGATATATACCTTTATTTTTACATAATCATATAGTATAACAAAAGGTCATACTTTTTTTGAAAAATTTACAACAAATCCCTTTACAACAGCATATGAAAAATAGACATGGACAGAATACAGAATCCTATTAAGTAGGCACAGACACCACCTGCAATTACTCACAAAAGTCAAATGGTACAACCAGCAGGACAGGCTTTGTTCATTTAGCAAAATGGTGAGGTAGATATATTTTAAAGATAAAGCTGAACAAAGTATTAAGAACAGAAAATTTACAATCTTAAATGAATTGTTTATCGGATAGTAATATATAATACAAACATCCAAAGTTGCAGAAGGTATACACCCGCTGAAATTTATAAGTACAGAGCTGCCGAAGTTCACACTAAATCAGAGTGAACCTACCATAATGTTTAAGATAATCCAAGTGCTATCAATTGTCTCAGAAATCTTTCTTACACAATGGTTAGAATCACTGGCATTCTTGACCAATGGCAGAGTGAGAAAGCAGAAGACAAAAAAAAACGTTGTTGTAAGGCACTACATTCAATGATTTTCTTTATGCATCATTATGCTGTCAGGGCAAAATGCATTTTGATATACTGTACATGCATATAATTCTATTATACAAAAGATTTTACATGCAACTTAAAAATGAGGTTAACATGAACTGTGAAACCATAATGTGAAAGGCATAATGTCACTACTTTTGAGGCAGTCAGTCTAACTCATAAATATTTTAAATTTATATGAAAAGAGAAAATAATCCCTGTAGGGTATTTTGCCAATCAATTTGCAGAACAGATGAGAAAGCAAAGTATTACAGTAACAGCTGCCCAAAAAAGTGTTAGCTGTAATTATCACCTAACATCAAGCTATCAGAAACCTGTAATTTTAGAAAGTTGTCAGTAGGACATACCAGCAGTTACATTACTACGTAAGTTAGAGAAAAGAATTAGTAATATATATGAATCATGTTTCTGAATACTTTACACCCTTTATTCAATTGGCTAGCATGGGTTTAATAGAGAAATTGCCCTGGTGTGTGGAAAGTTAAAGAGAATTAAAGTGCTAAATTGCTCATTCATAGATACTTCACTCAGAAATGAACTGAATAAGGGAATAAAAATTAGTTGCTTAATAGGAATCTGTGTCTAAGTGCATTGTTCACTTTGTCACTTGATTTTCTTTGCTATGTAAATCCACAAATGATGAGTACAGAACAGGTTTTCTAAAGTTTAAGCATACTATTCTGGTGGTATTTCTCTAAAATTAAAGTTAAAATTTAATTAAATTTAAAATCACCTCTGGAGCCACACCTTTGAGCCTACCTCTAATCACATTCGACCTCAGTTATCTGCCTTAGGAAAGTGCACACATTTGGTGTGGTATCATCAGTTGTCAAAAGGGTCTGAAAAGAAGCTAAAATTATAGACTTCATGGCAACAAACTTTTTTTTTAAAAAGTCAGATGCTGCCTGTAGTTATTTATTTTGATCAACCTGTTTGAACATACCTCTAGGGCACGTAGAACCTGAACCCGGATCTTCTGACTCAGGAGGAGACACTATCACTGTTCCCCAAGAGCCCCATGAAACACAGCACACTTCCACCAATTAAATCAGAACTGCCACTTGTTGACCCAAAGGTGTCACTGAAGGGCTTTGGCAGCAGTGCCTTCTAATCAGACTAGACCACTCAGCCACGTTACCTTAAAATGCCCTTAGCGTCAATCACTTTCAATAAAATTGACTCTGATTAAACAAATTATCTTCTATTACTCAAACAGAACTTCTGAGGGGAATGAGTAAAAAGCTGGAGGCAAAGTAGCAAAGGTACATAATAAAATTCCATGAAAATTCACAGTTAGCAAAGTTAATACACATTTGTAGATAAATGAACTTAATTTATGTAATTTTAAGAAGAAAGAGTAAATTCAGCAATCCTGCAGCGCAAGTGGAAAAGCCACTTTCAATAAAGAGTGCAGAACAGAGATTGGTCGACCACACTGTAGCTGTCTCAGATTATCCAATCTGGGCTCATAATGACTTTAACTCCCCACTGGTAGCATGGATCACTGATTTTGCCCTTAGAACATTTGCACAAAAATTCAAAATACAATAAAAATATAGCTTATGCGTTACTAAAATACTCTGTACTCTGTAGAGAGTTCTTAAATGTTTATATACAGGAATACATTATTATTTCAGGAAGTAAAATACATTCAACTGTACAATATGCAATATTCAGTACCGTGAAGAACACAGTTTGCTGAGCTGCACAAAATTGAACATTCATGATACGGGACAACTCTGAGTCAGTCTCACTGACAAACACCTGCTTTTGAAAATACATACAAATAACGCCAGAAAAGGAATTCAGAGTGTGTTTAAAATGTCCCATTTGTGTCTTAAAATAATAACTGCTGCCAAATAATCAATTTACATCTTCAAACAAAAAATGTCCAAGTCACTGAGAAGAGCAGCAGAAAACTTGATTTGGTCATCATTTTAACTTTTTGTTCGTTTTCCCTAAAAGCAGGATAACCTTAAAAGCTGTTAATGTTTTTGGAAATCTGGTGCCATTGTTTGCACGATATCATAACTGGGGCTAGTTGGTGCTTTTTGTCTACATTTATTTACAATGTTTCTCTGGAATCTGTTTAATTGTGCTTTGTATCGAAAATGTTTCTGTTCATGAAAATTTTATGTTTTTGACTTTTAGTAATTAGTGCATGGCGTTGTCATTTCTACACTCAGCAAACTGCTGGTGTTTACATAAATCCCAGGAAAAATTAAACAGCTGCATTCTACAAATAAAGCAGCACTGAGAAAAATTCTGGTACAAATTTCACATGAGGAACCCATAAATGGTTAGCAAGTTCCCAACTCAGGGTAATTAGTAGTTTTGTCACATATAGTGTTATACACTCGAGTAAAGTCAGTTTATCTAAAGTATAAAGCAACTTAGATGATTTCTTGCTTTGAAAATACATCTCAGCTTTCAAAGATAACTGAAGATCTTCCTTTTATCTTCAGGATACTAACATCAACAATTAGCCACTTTGAACCTTGCCTCTATACTGCATTTCCTCACAATTATTTGCCTTCAGGTTAGGCCGTACTGCTGCTTGAACAGGGAGTGCTTTGTGTGCTACCAATGCTATGAGCAGTACTACTGTTTTCTGACGCTGGAGGAGATGTGGGGACTTGATGCCTTCCTGCAGTTTCACCTGCAGAAAATAAACCATCGTCAATCAACTGACCAATCCACCAAATTTAGTCATGCATTTGTGGGCAATTAACATTTGAACAGAAATAAAATATCTTTACCAATGGTTATTGTGATATACAAAGTTTAGGGTTTATATCATATTCATCTCCATTATAATTTCTTCCTCTGCAAAATCAGTCACTTCAGTGTATTAACAATTTATAAATGGACATGGCTTTTGAAAGCTATGAAACTTTTTTTTCTCTCCATCCCACTAGTGGAGGTGCTTTTGTTTAATCAGAATCCCTTTTCAAGGCCTCTCTGCTCTGAAACTCTGTGCCAAGCGAAGAAAAATAATTCATCACAGATTCATGCAAAAATCAGAACTGGCCATGAACCCCTGCTGCTATCCCAGTTTGGTAACTTAATACGACATTTAACCATTTCCTGAACCACATAATAGTAAATACTTTATTTAAAGAGAAGAATAGATTTTAGGACTTAACTAGACCTGATAACTATTGAAATAAGTTCACTATTCAGTAAGGGATAAATTCATAATCTGCTTTTCAATACATGAAAATAGTTGAGTGCTACTAGAACTGTCTCCAATAAGGAGAACCAGTCTGTTATAAATTAAGACTGACTTTGGAAAACGCTTGATTAGCTGACTGAGCATGGCAGGGTGTACAGACCACTGAGGGTCTTTAAAAGTAACTTGCACGCTTTCAAACTGAAACAAATCCAGCTCCAAGCCATAAACTGCTTTTGTTTTGTCAGTATCTGTCTGAGACGCATGCTTATATGTTACAATTCCCTGTCCAGGAAATCTGGACATTTTTCTATTGACTTCAAGTACATTTCAAGTTTGCTTCGTCAGATTATTTTAATCAGGACACGTTGAAAAATTGATAGTCTACAATTCTTCAAGGATTTAATCAATATTTAATTACTTTCCCAAGCAAATGGGGAAGAACTAACGTTAACAATCATTATGGAAAGAAAAATACTTTTCCAGGAGTGAATTATCAAAAACCAAAAGCTAGATGCTGACAATAGCTGTCTAAGAAACATTTACTACCTTGTGTTAATGTAACCAAATTGGAATCATTTCATAAACAAGTTACTAAGTAATGCAGGAAGCTGAACTCTAATCCTCGGGGTTTGGGGGAAGATGTTCGCTTTTTGTTTTTGAGATGAATGCATTTGGATTTTGGTCATAATTCATAACATGCACAGGGAGATACAGGAAAACATGAACTAGGAACAACGTGCATTCAGTGAACTATACTAGGTGACACTGAACTCAGTTTCTACCTCCAAGGCTGAATACTAGTAATTCAGACAGCTGTTGTACCTTTTGTTGAAATTCAACGGATGTTTAAAAGGCAGTGGGCTATGTTCAGTACAATCGCATTACAGTGAAATATTTTGCTATTTTCACCCTCTGGAAATTTTGAGCTTTGTAAGTAAGAGAAAGTGATAACTAACTATCGTCATTCTCTCCTTAGGGAAACAAATTATGTTTCCTCTGGTGCAGGTTTATACATGCCTGACTCGTCCCTATAACGTTAAGAAATATTTCTGACCCACAGTCATGCAGCTGTTTCATAAAATTAGTGTCAAGAGAGATGGTATAGTTCTTATGAACTTTTGAACAAGTGACTTAATTTTGTTGTATAATTGAAGCAGAATATGGACTTGCTCTTTGACCTGAAACAGCAGATCAACAATGTGACGCTCCAGCTGCTCAACCATTTCCCTACATACAAATTAATGAACAATTCAGTGTTTTCAATCAGCCTTGATAAAATATGGATTTGTGCATGTATCTGCTACAAAGAAACAACGTGTAATTAATTTATTGCTTTTCTTTATTGTGGATCTAATTGGTTCTCTCACACATTAATTTTGAAGTTACATATTCAGTTTTACCAGCTGCACCTTGAACCAGTTCACAACAGCCAAATAGTAGATTTTCAGTGCTATTTAAAGGGCTTTGAATAATAATGAATTTTAGAAAAACATCGAAACACGGTTCCATGCAGAGAAACAAATACCCAGCATTTGCTCAGAAACTCATCAATACCAAAGTTACCAGCCTAGCACCAGATATTAGGACATTATGGCAAAGGGCGAGATTCTACAGAACAGAAATACAACCATTCTCACTCAACTATTCCATTTTAATTCATCCTGTGGATAGCACTTAACATTTAATTACATTTTCACCAATACAGGTAAAGCAATGGCTTACTTATGTGCAGCAAATCAAGTAAATGCATGATTGAACTATTACTTGCCCTGAATATTGAATTTTCTTTAGTATAACAGACAGCCAGTCAATTGCAATCCAGGTTTTTCCACTCCTCTGCTCTTTTCCCATAACCTTTGAAGTTTTACTTTTCAACTCCAACAGCTATTACAGGTTTTAGTTCCAGTACTGACATTCCTAACGAAGCTCAGTGTTAATTAAACAAAAAGAAAATTTCTTAACCTTTCCTTTAAGTTTGGTGATGAGCTTACACTTAGGCTTATGAGCTGCTGTCACAGCATTCATTAGAACTAGTTTCTCCTGAATTAACTCATCAAAACCTTTCACAAATTTGAATGCCTTGTCATTTCTTAATTTGGTTACCAAGGGACTGTAAGATTATCAGGGATATGCAGGAATGTAGGGTTGAGGTTAAAATCAGATCAGTCATGATTTTATTGAATGGTAGAGCAGGCTCGAAGGGCTGAATGGCCTCCTCTAGTTCCGTGTGCATATTAAACTTCTTTGAACAAAACTGATTGAAACAAAAAAATCAGGAAAATACAATGGAAAAAAATCACACCAACAATTAGCAAATGCACTAAGGAGATGTACTTGTAAAATTGTTCAAATCAATATGATGCCTCTATCAATCAAATATGTTGACTAAAAAGGATGGACTGCATTGGAGATCACTAAAACTGTAGACATTTGGAATGTTTGTTGGTACGATGCTGCCACAGAGTCATATAGCCTGGAAACACCCTTCTGTCCAACCACTCCATGCTGAACATAATCCCAAACTAAACTAGTCCCACTTGCCTGTTTCTGGCCCATATCCCTCTAAATCTTTCCTATTCATGTATTTATCTAAATATCTTTTAAACGTTATAACTGTGCCCGCATCCACCATTTCCTCAAAAGTTCATTCCACACACGAACTGCCCTCTGTGTAAAAAATTTGCCCTTCGTGTCTTCTTTAAAGGTCTCTCTTCTCACCTTAAAAATGTGCCCTCTAGTCTTGAAATTCCTCATCCAAGGGAAAAGACAACTAACATTAACTCTATCCATACTCCTCATTATTCTATAAAGTCACCTCTAAACTTCCTATGCTCCAGTGAAAGAAGTCCCAGCATCTTGGCAGCATCTGTGAAGGAAAGAAGTCCCAGCCTATCCAACCTTTCTTTGTAACCCAAATTTTCAGACCTGGCAACATCCTGGTAAATCTTTTCTGAACCCTCTCCAGCTTAATAATATCCTTCCTATAACTGGGTGACCAGAACCGGACACAGTATCCCAGAAGAGGCCTCACCAATGTCCTGTACAACTTCAACACGACTTTATGTCAAATAAAATTCAAAAGAACTGCAGATGCTGTAAATCAGAAACAAAAATAGAGATTGCTGGAAAAGCTTAGCAGGTCTGGTAGCATCTGTGGAGAGAGATCAGAGTTAACATTTCAAGTTGAATGACCCTTCCTCATGACTTCATGTCATCCTTGGACGTGCTGCTCTGAAGGAGAACCCTGCCAGGGTTTGAGGGTATGGAGGGACTGGGGTGTGGCGAGAACAAAATAGGGAAACCATGCAATCTTTTGCACTTTAGTCATATAGAGATTGCTGCAGACAAGAAAAGGAACAATGACAGCTCCTGCTAAATGGATTACTGTTCAAAATGCTGGACGTAGAGCCATCAGTCCTAGACAGTTTTAGATCAGCTAAAGACCAGATTGTCCTATACAACAGCAGATCTCTGGGCCCGTATTATTGTTATTATTTTATTATAAATTTGAAACTGAATTGAATTATGTAGTGTCAGAGCTCACCAAAATGAGTTTAAAATTGGTGTTCTAATACATCTCGCTGAGCAATAATGTAAGTCAATGTTGAATTCAGAAACTATGAAAGATCTTTCTTAAAACTGGAAACATTTTTATGATACAAATCTTGCCATTTCCTGGAGAACTTACTGCCCAGAAGGGAGTATACTTCAACAGGGGACTCTGCCAATGGAACTTGTAGTAAAATACTAAAAAAAGTATCTTGGATTTATATTTGATCTGTGAGAAGCAGAACAATAACAGTATTTCCACTATTTAGATCTCTACTGCTGTGATCTATTAGCACAGTTCACCCAGGTGGGCATGTCAATACCATGTGGCTTCACCATAACCATAGTCAATTTTAGTCCATCATCAGATAACAGGAGCTGAATTTCTGTCAGTGTGCATCAGATTTTCATTACTCTCCTGACATTTTGAGAGCTCATTAAAAAAATAAGTCCCATGTTTTAAAGGTCAGTTCCACGGAAAGAAAAAGAAAATGAATTGAAGTAATCTTGACTGTGGAATCAGGCTTATATTAGCATGAATGAATGAAAAGCATGCTTAATTCAAGTGCTTCTAACGTCTTCCTTTTCTGTCAATCAAGGATTCTCCCACCATCATAGGCTGCAGAATTATTGATCACGCCCACTCTACTTCATATGCTTATTCTTACCCTTTCCTCCTTTCCAGAACCACAACAGTGTTCTGCCTATACTCATTTTCTACCTCCCCAGTCTCTTTATTCAATGGTCTTCCTCCACCTTTATTGTCATCTCCGCACTTTTTCCCTTCCACCCTTCAGTGTTCTGAAGGGACTATTCACTTCCTGCCAACCTGTTCAGTTGTTCACAACTCTGTTCTGAGGAAGGGTCACCGGATCCGAAACGTTAACTCTGTTTTTTCCTTCACAGATGCTGCCAGACCTGCTGAGCTTTTCCAGCAACTTTGTTTTTGTTCCTGATTTACAGCATCCGCAGTTCTTTTGGTTTTTGTTCAGTTCTTCAACTACCCACAAATCCTTTTCTATGCAAATACATGAGGTATAACCACTGCCCTTTACTTTTTCCCTTTTCCAGATCTCTAATGCTCCTTCCAGGATGAACAGAGATTGACGTGTACTGTTTTCAATTTAGAATGCTCAATTGACTGCTCACAATCTGTATTTGGGAGATTAAACGCAGTCTGGGTGACTGCTTTGTGGAAAGCTCCTGTCCAGTCAGCAAGTGTAACCCAGCGTTCCAGTCAGCTGTAATTTTAATTCTCCACCTTGCTTCCACCATAACCTTTCCGATATTAGCCTGCCACAGTGTTCCAATAAAGTTTATTACAGTGGCACTTCAAATTTTCCTGGGTTCAATGCTGAGTTCAATATTAGATCATAACTTCTGGCCCCATTTCACTTTTCTGCTTTTATGTTTTCTTCCCACTTTTTTATGCATTCATTCATTCATTTATTTAGTAATCCAACACCAACGTTTTTGTTAATCCACACCTACCATTATTACAACTGATGTTCCTCTACTTGTCCCATTACCTCTCCTTCGTCCTTGTACCGTGAAACTATGTTATTTAATTTCTCCTGCCTTTCTTCATGTTACAGACATTCCTTTTTGTTTTCCTTCCCACCGTCATTTCCCATGCTCAAAATTTATTACATTTTCAACTTTTCCCAGTTACGATGAAGGGTCACATATCTAAAATGTTAACTCTGTTTCTTTATTTAAGGTGCAGTCAGGCCTGCTCCATTTTTTTTTTTAAACGTTGTCCTCAGGAATTGAGCTTCACTGGTTATGCCAACATATACTGCCTGCACTTAACCACCTAGAGGGCAGTTAGTAGTCAACCACATTGCTCTGGGTTTGGAGTCATATGTAGGCCAGACTAGGCAAGGACAGCAGATTTCCCTTTCCTAAAATGACAGTAGTAAACCATTTAGGTTTTAGTTTTTTAAATATTTCATCGTTTCCTGCTTTTATTTCAGATTTCCAGCATTCACAGTATTTTGCTTTTTTATCAATTTCTGTACCCTTGAAGTGGTTTGGTAGATTACTGAATTTTTAAAAAAGGTTAAATGAATGTGTGTAACATGACTAAAAAGCTTCAGTGAACTAATGTATTTACAATATAAACTCTTGAAAATCGATTAAAAAGTTCTCACTTTTGATGTTGCTTCATCTAATAACATAACTGCTTTATGCTTGCCAGCCTTGCGAGAATCAACAGCTTGATTTAATTCTGTTCCATTCTGAAGGAGGGTCATTGGACTTAAAACATTATCTCAGTTTTCCATCCACAGATGCTGACAAACCTAAGTTTCACCAGCAATTTCTTTTCGCTTATTTCAGATCTCCAGCATCTGCAGTTCTTTGTTTTACTAAAGCTCTGTTTATTTGGTATTTTAGTTTACTATTCTTAACTCTTTCATATTTATGTGGATATCAATCTATATCTTAACATTATGCTGAAAAATCTTAGCAAATGCTGATAGCATTGGTGCAGTTTTACCAATACTTCAAGGCAAAATAGAGTTGAATTAACAAGGATATTGTTCACCATATTGCCAACATGGCTAATTTCTTTCACACACTTTATGCAGTAGCATATGACTTATTGATACTTTTCACTTTGGGTCAGAATATTCCTATTATTATTTGAAGACATTTATCATCTGGCAACAATTCTTCTATAATAGAGACAATCCTATATATTCTTTGTTAGGCATTTGATTTCAACAGGTACATTGCATTACTTGTACTTCCAAGGAATCTGGTTGCACACAGGAAACCCCAGAACAAATAGAGAGTGCTAGAGAAACTCAGCAGGCCTGGCAGTATCTGTGGAGACAGAAACACAGTTAATGTTTTGAGTCCAGCATGACTTCTTCATAATAGTTCCGAAGAAGTCATGCCAGACTCTACATGTTAACTATTTCTCTCTCTACAAATGCTGCTAGACCTGTCAAGTTTCCCAAGCATTCTCTGTCTCTGTTTCAGATTTCCAACATCTGTGGTACTTTGTTTTTATTTCACAGGACACTCAGAACTCTGTTGTGGAGTTTTAGCTTATCTCAACTTGTCTGACAAATGCACTACAGCCTTTTCCTGATATTAAATTATTCTTTTAGTTATTTATTTCTACATACTCTTAAAATTCTAACAAGGTATTTTCAAGTTCATGATCTGAACCATGAACACATGTTTTTACAAATTCAGAAAAAAGGGACTAAAAATTGTGATGTGTATACTCATTAAGATTATAGTCTCAGTAGGATTCTACTGAGCCTTCTCATCTACACCCAGGATGTATGGATTGATCTGCTTCAGAGTTATAACTACGTTAAATGATTGATAACATACATACCAGTGTGGGAGTAAATATACCACAAAGCTCCGGTTAGAAGTGCACCAATTACAAATGCTGCAAATGCAATTCCCACAACAGTTGGGGTATCCAGACCATAAATAATATCTGAAACACAAAACGATGATACATACATTATACAGGTTCATAATGCATGAAACAAATTACTGTTACGATAGGATTTCATTTCAAAAAAAGGTATTGATATCTTGAATATAAAGTCACTTAAGAGAGTCAGCTTTATGAATCATGCCTGCAGTGTCTTGTCTAGAGTTTAATGCAACATATAGATGTCAAGTGTGATGCAATCAACTTGATTTAACCTTACATTATCTGAATATTTCAATCATCTTCAAGTGCCATTTACATGGAACAAGGATAATGAAACGTTTCTGTATGTTTTGATCAGCAAATCAGACCAGATTGGTGGTATCCATCCTGCCTTAACTCTGAGTTTGAAAACCAGAGTTGCCAAATGAAAGACAAAATTTAGTCTGAACAACAATTGCTTAGTAACTAGAAACAAAGCTGCTAAACAATCCATATGCAATCATAAACTCAAATCATTAAATAAAAACCAAAAGAACTGCAGATGGTGTAAGTCAGGAACAAAAACAGTTACTGGAAAAGCTCAGCAGGTCTGGCAGTGTCACCGGACCCAAAATGTTAACTCTGATTTTTTTCTTCACCGAAGCTGTTTTTGTCCATAATTTTGTTTTTGTCCACAAATTCAAATCATGGTAAAGATTGCACTTATTGGAAGTAAGGTAACTTCAGAGGCAAATTACTTGTAAAGGACACAAATACAGCAAATAGTAATTGAATATTTTCAGACAGGGTAGCAATTGACATACACCAAAGTTCCAAATGTCGAATTAGAAATGAACAATCATCTAATGAACTGAATCCGGTCTGGTTGATAAATATATGGCATATGCACAGCATGTCAGTATCCAGCAAGCTAACCCTGAACATCTTGCTTAGAGAAATAGATATGGCACCAGTGGGCTACTGCTGTTACTTTATCTGAATGAAATGTAATGAACTGGCCCTAATCATCATGAAAATCATCCAAGAAACCTTTATCACTGCCTATGGAACAGAACATTGTGAAACCACTTCAGTAATGTGCCAATTTTTATATTTTCTTTTACTTATTCCCAAACTGTGTGTGTTTGTTTGTCTGTCTGTCTTTTGTGTGAATGGGCTGCAAATGAAATCTGAGATAACAAGGTGTAGAGCT